GGTCAGGCGTTTCTGCCGCTGTTTCTGGTTCAAAAGTGGCTTGACCTTGGGAATGTGGCACCTGTAGCCCATTTCCTGCACACGCCTGTGCACGGTGGCTCTGGATGTTTCTACTCCAGACTCAGTCCACTGCTTCCGCAGGTCCCCCAAGGTCTGGAATCGGCCCTTCTCCACAATCCTCCTCAGGGTCCGGTCACCTCTTCTCGTTGTGCAGCATTTTCTGCCACACTTTTCCCTTCCCACAGACTTCCCACTGAGGTGCCTTGATACAGCACTCTGGGAACAGCCTATTCGTTCAGCAATTTTTTTCTGTGTCTTACCCTCTTGCTTGAGGGTGTCAGTGATGACCTTCTGGACAGCAGTCAGGTCGGCAGTCTTATCCATGATTGCGGTTTTGAGTAATGAACAAGGCTGGGAGTTTTTAAAAGCCTCAGGAATCTTTTGCAGGTGTTTAGAGTTATGTCGTTGATTCAGATGATTAGGTTAATAGCTTGTTTAGAGAACCTTTTCATGATATGCTAATTTTTTGGGACAGGCATTTTGAGTTTTCATGAGCTGTATGCCATAATCATCAGTATTAAAACAATTAAAGACCTGAAATGTTTCAGTTGGTGTGCAATGAATCTGAAATATATGAAAGTTTCATTTTTGTCATTACATTATGGAAAATATGACCTTTATCACAATATGCTAATTTTTTGAGAAGGACCTGTAGTTAAACAGCTCCACAGTGGCAGGGCTCCGGGGGTGGATGAGCTCTTCCCTGACTTCCTAAAGGCTCTGGATGTTGTGGGGCTGTCTTGGTTAACATGCCTTTGCAACATTGCATGGACATCAGGGGGCAGTGCCATTGGACTGGCAGACTGGGGTGGTGGTTCCCGTCTTCAAAAAGGACTGGAAGGTGTGCTCCATTTATAGGGATGTCACTCTACTTATCCCCCTGGTAAGGTATATTCAGGGGTACTGGAGAAGTGAGTCAGATAATTCGTCAAACCTCAGATCTAGGAGGAAGAATGTGGGTTCCATCCTGGCTGTGGATCACTGGGGTCATGGGAGTTTGCCCATCCAGTCTACACATGTTTTTTGGACCTGGAGAGGGCATTTGACTATGTTCCTCAGGGTATACTTTGGGGAGTGCTCCTCGAGCATTGGCTTGGGGGCCCATTGCTATGGGCTATTCAGTCCCTATACGAGCTGTAAGGCGAAGTTCCTACCCTCACCTTTGGCCACAAACTCTGGGTAGTGACCGAAAGAACGAGAATGTGGATACAGGCGGTTGAAATGAATTTCCTACACAGCGTTGCTGGACTCTCCCTATAGAGATGGGGTGAGAAGTTCCGTTTTCCAGGAGAGAGACTGTGTAGAACTGCTGCTCCTCCACATTGAAAGGAGCCAGTTGAGGTGGTTCGGACAACTGGTAAGGATGCTCCCTGGGCACCTCTCCAGGGAGGTGCTTCGGGCATGTCCGACTGGGAGGAAAGACCCTGGAGAAAACCCAGGACATGCTGGAGAGACTGTCTCTTGGTTGACCTGGGAACGCCTTGGAGTCCTCCTGGAAGAGGTGGCTGTAGAAAGATGTCTGGGCCTCCCTGCTCAAGCTGCTGCCCCTACGACCTGACTTCAGAACAAGCGGAAGATGATGGATGGATGGATCATGTGATTACATTGACAGCAATGTAAAAATTTATAAACCAACATTCACATTAACTGCTATAAGCTCTTTGCAGTGGTGTAATTTAACTATAAAGGAAGAAACTACTTTAAGAACATTTCCAACCTGCAATCCAGGCTTTCCTTACCTGCTATTCAGATATGGAGCTCCAGGTGTGGAGTTCATGGGACTACATGAGGAGAATGCTGCTGTAACACAGGTGCACTTCATGCCTTACCAGGTACAGTTGCAAACGCTGCACACCTTCACAGGCTCCTGATCTTCCCCCAATGATTGTTTGATGCTTCTCTTTAGGTTGAAATGGTAACTTTGCTGGATGACAACAGTTTACACATGTGGACTCTGAGAGGCCACAAAGGATTGTCCGAGCTCCTAGAGGTCGGACGCTTCATGCTCACTGGACCTCCGGGGTAAAACATGCATTTTAAGATGTATAAGTTGTTTTTTGTTTTTTTTTTGTCCCCCCCCACCCCCCAAGACTCTTTTGAAATTCATATGAATCTGGTGGGGGGGGGGTGGGGGTGGTGAAGGTGTAGCGGAGCACCACATTTGTATTGCTCGCGGTTTGAAGTCTGTGCTGAGTTGTTACAATTTCCGCTCCCTGTCTAGAAGTGACGGAGTTGTTGTGGGGGTGTCAAGGATTTGGTAGGCAGGGCACTCTGTTCTGTTGACAGGGCGGGGCACCCTCCTTGAATAATCGTAGGGGAAACACTGAACTTTGTTCACATAACTCTATTTTCTGGTCTTTGAAGGATTTTGTTGAAAAGCTGTTCTTTCTCCCAGCTTATTTTGGTATCTTCCAAAATTATTGTACTAAAACTGAAATCCCCTCCCTTATTGGTGTTTTCAGGGCACCCCCAAGTGTGACCAGAGTAACCTCAGTGCTGGCACACTCTTCAGGAGAGCTGCTGCTGTTGGGGACAGAAGGAGGACACTTGTTTGTTGTGGAAGTGCCAGGATTCAGAGAGTTAGAGGAGAGGAACATCAGCCTGGACCAAGTCTCCAACAGGTGAGCAGCCAATGAACAAATAACCTAACTGATTGCATTTAAGGACATTTTGGTGTTGGAGCCACCTGCAAGACTTTCCTGCATTTGAAGTTTTGTTATTGCCATCAGGCACACGCTGTGTGTGTGGGACTGTTTCAGCATCAACAGGGTCAATCAATGTACAGGATTAGGTATTAGATTCCACGAAATACTCTCACTGGTAAAAACAATTACCTGTTGTCTGGATACAAGCAGAGATTCTGAACAGAGTCAAACTACCTCCGTGTCCTCTCTAACTGCATCCATATATCTCCTCTTTGTCTTTTTCCTGACAACTGCATTTCTAATATCCTTCTACCAATATACCTACTATCCCTTCTCTGGACATGTCCAAACCACTATCCCTCCTCTGGACATGTCCAAACCACTATCCCTCCTCTGGACATGTCCAAACCACTCTCTCTCCTCTGGACATGTCCTGTCCACTGTCCCTCCTCTGGACATGTCCATACCATCTCAGTCTGGTCTCTCTTATATCTCCCAGTTGTTCAACCTGTGCTGTACCTCTGATGATCTCATTTCCTAATCTCATTACTGTGACTCCTAAGGAGAACCTCAACATCTTCAACTCTGCCACTTCCAACTCTTGTCTTCTGATATAAAATTATTTTAAAAAAATACATGACAGAACCAAAAAACATTTTTTAAATTCATTCAATAAAAATTACATGAGAAAACTAAAAAAAGATCAAATGGATAAAAAGATTTCAAGCAGACATTGTGCCGCTGTGATTAGCTCTGACAGATTTTTGAGAGTCCAATTTAGGACTGAATGCAGTGGTCAAAACTTTTTAACATGTTTTTAAAATTGTTTTATCAGTAAAAAGTTGCTAACAATTTAACTTCTAAACATGAATGAATGAGCTGTTTAAACTTTATTTTCCCACCTTCAAAGTAGAAAAGGGCACTGTTTGAGTTTGGCTTTAGTATGTTTAGTTTTTAATAAATGTGGAAAAGACGCTTCCTCTAAGCATTGCATCTGGCAAGTATTCAGCACTTCACTTTTTCCACATTTTATGTGTCAGCCTTGTTCCAAATTGTATTAAATCACCCTTTCCTCAAAGTTCTACACATACAGGTCCTTCTCAAAAAATTGGCATATTGTGATAAAGGTAATTATTTTTCATAATGTAATGATGAAAATGAAACTTTCATATATTTCAGATTCATTGCGCACCAACTGAAATATTTCAGGTCTTTAATTGTTTTAATACTGATGATTATGGCATACAGCTCATGAAAACCCAAAATGCCTGTCCCAAAAAATTAGCATATCATGAAAAGGTTCTCTAAACAAGCTATTAACCTAACCATCTGAATCAACGACGTAACTCTAAACACCTGCAAAAGAT